TTGAATTTAGAACAACATCCATTTGGAAGTATTGCATCACAAGTTGTTGTGCAGTGTTGCCGATGCTGCCTGTTATGAGTGATCACTTTGCAGCTTCACCAGAAAGTGCTGTGCTGCAACGGTGCGAAGATGGAAAGCAGGGCTCAAGCACAATCTAGGGCAAAAGTCATGGGCCAGTAAGACAGTAGGAGAACCTCCGTAAAAGGGCTTTGGAGCTTGTGCGTCCTCTCTGCTTTAGCAAACATTCTCCCAACCTTTTAAGGGCCTAAGGGTTCGCAAACCTTTGCAGTCTTTCGTCCGCCAACCACCCAACCAAATGGCCACAACCAATTAGGCTCCGACAATGCAGTATGTCTGGAGCACGCCGAATGCTACATGCAGGTCCAGTTTGTGCAAAAGGAGTACCAGATTCTTAAGGAGGAGCTCGCGCAGTGAGAAGCTGAGTTGGGGGTTCTTGTAATCAAAGGTCCCGTGCTGTAATTATCAAGGTTCTCTGCCATAATACAGACCGTCAGACTAAGGCTTTGGACAGGGTGCATTTTAGGTCCAGGTGAAGAGTCAGGGATTGACTGTCATGTTCACCCTGAGTGCAATGACTTGTGACCGGCGCACTGCCCCGCTTTGCGTCCGCATGCGGCAGAGAGAGAGAGAGAGAGAGAGAGAGTGAGACAACCCATGATCATTGGGGGTCAAGGTGCGCTTTAGATGGCGGGTTTGATTGCAAGGCCTGGGTACTCGTTGGTGCCGACCAGTGGATGCGGACATGCTGGGCTCAGGGCGGTGACCTGACCTACCCGTAGGGGTAGGTATAGCCCGAAGAAGAAGAAGAAGAACAACCCATGTAGGGGAAAAACTTCCTCCAGTATCAGCTGCGAATGCCCGGCCAACTGCAGGGTCCACATACCAAATACTTATAAAGTGACCCAGAGTCCTGTTTGGAATAGCTAGGACTCCATAATCATCCGAATGCAGCCCCGTAAATCCTCTAGATGTGCAAAAAGAACTTCAATATCCAGGTTGGATCAAGATCTTGGGGCGCAGCGGGACTTGGTCACGAAGACCAAGCATGAGCGCGATGAACACAGGCCTTGTGGTATCCCTATTGCCCTATATATTCCCTATAGTCTCCATTAATATATCTTGCATAAAATCCCTATATTGGGGCTTAGATAAGCCTTCCAACGTAGTTGTTTTTTCTTGTTATGTTTGGAAGTATTGCTACTTTCCTTGGTTGAGCCCAGGAAGCTTTTCTACGCGTATAACACCCCGAGGATCCGCGAACATCAATCATCCCAACCTTTGGGCATGCACAGAATGTAATCCCCTCCCCCTCATGTTAACCTCCCTCCCCCACCCCCCCTGATATCAAATATGCCCAATATACTATAACATACCACAATGGGGAGTATCTAACATTAGGGGGCTGGGGAGGTGTAATATTAGGGGGAGGGGAGTAATCACCCCCGTGTCAGGCAAGAGTATGCCTCGCTGAAGCAGCAGACCGGCATAATGAACTCTGAGCACTTGACGAAGGATTTCAAGGACAGAGAAGTGCTCCCACAGAACTGCCCACTTTACGAGACTGCTCTACCAAGCTGCGCTGACGAGACAGTAGTTGTTACTCCGTAGAGGTCACAGCCAGCGTCACAACTGCAGAAACATCTAGCAGGACCGTGCTGACCGCATCAAGGAGCTCAAGGCCGGGGAATATTGAAGTCAGTTGAAGAGCTGTTTTTTCTAAAGAAGCCTTGACTTGCTTAAAAGCTGCGAGCTGCACAGCACAGGAGCAGATCACGCAGCTCAAGAAGCGACACAGCCAGATGTCCCAGCGGGGGCTCTCAGAAGCAGCAAGAAACATCCTGCTCATTGTGTCCTTTCCAAGCTTCCAATTGCCAGTAGCACGTGATTCATGGTCCGGTGGTCCATATGCACACGTCTGCGCAGAAACCACAAATCTGGAAACTTAGAGATCGCTGAACACCAAACCGTCCCTCCAGTCCCAGCTGAGACAGTTGCAGTCAGTAGAGCCTCTCGACTCATTCTACGGCACCCAGCCAAGCTTAGCAAGGTTCATCAAGGCGCATGGCGGCAAGATCTGAGTGCTGGGGTCGTAGTGTCCGCTACACTTTGACTGCGTATGCACTACTTGCACCACTTCAGCGAGCATGTTCACACGACATCTCCAGAGATTCGCAGACATCGGGACAGTCTTGAAGCTGATTTGGGTTGGGCAAAGGGTTTCCAAAGAATCGTTTAGTCAGCGTTCGGAAGAGGAGCTGAGTTATCCATTTTCCTGGAAACGTCGCTGCAACCCTTACTACATACCATGGGACTCCTTCGTTGTGTGTGATGCAGACTGACGTACGTGAACAGATTACTACAAGTAGATGAAGCTTAGTCAGTGGAAGGATAAGTTTCACCCGAAGGCACATATGCGGCCAAGCAGGAGTTCTAGAACTACCGGTATAGATTCCAACGTTTGTCACAGGATTTGGAGCCCCCTGCCTGCCAAACATGCGCAACTTGATGCGCGGACCGCTGCCAAGTGTCTCATGCACGCGGGGTTTGCCCATGCAGTCGCCTACCAGATTGTGTTATGCTTGCTGTACTGGAAAGCGCTGAACTTCAAACTGCACCAGCTGTTAGATCTGACGCAGGATGCATCAGATGGCTTCTGCATGTCGCTCAGCCCATGAAGTCTCACCGCGCTGAACCCCAGCGACGGCCGCGATTTCCTAGAACAAAAGCCTGGGGATCCCGACAGCAGAGCGAAGCAGATATGCAGCAGCTGCCAAATTCTACCAATCTCCCAAGCATGGCATTCAACCTGGGAATGAGCCTCCTTTTAATGCTGGAGGCTTCAAGCTGTCAGCAGTCGGTTTGAGCGTGACTGTTGGAGCCGCTGTAAGGATCAAGAAAGACTGTGGGATGTCCCCCTATGTGCCCAAAGATTCAAGTATAAAGATGAACCGATGGAGGTCAGCAGCACAAAATGCAACATTCCGTTCTGACACCATCTCTCCCAAGAAGCCCCCACACCACATCATGCTGGGCCCGTTCTAGGTTTACGTGCATAGGGCTGGCCTCTTCCTAGAGAGGGCAAAATGGCCATGGCTGATGCACCTGCGGGCCAGGACCTGGTCTCAGATGACTCTCATTGTGAGACCCAAAACACTTTATGTCAACAAAAAGTTTCAAGTTCAATGGGGAGCCAGGTTGGCTCTAGTGTTCGCCCTGTATGAAAACAAATAAAAGTCGCGTGCCAACGACAACTCGTGCGCCAGGCGCAGAGGGAGCACGGAGCACAACACTGCAGCGCGGAGGGCAGTGCGAGCCAAAATCAGAGAATTCATGCGCCAAGCGCAGAGCAGCACAACATGCCAACGATGAGGGCATGCACAAGGCCAAAACCGGAGAATCCCAACGTCAACAACCGCTTGCGGCTAGCTTCGTGCACGTCACATGCCAGCCAAAAAGTATGACAAGCCCTACAAGCAATCAAATCTGTAGGCCAAGTGCAGGGCCCAACAAGTCACAACAAACAACGCAACCAGCTTACATGCAAGACCAATAGGCCAAGTGCACAACCAACGTACCAGATGGAGCACGAACTCTCCACGCACAAAGGGCGCAGTAACACCCACAACCAAGATCAAGCAAGATACTAGATCACTCGGGAGCGGGGAGAAAGAGAGATCTCTTAGTGCACACAGCCCTCAGTGCCGATATGTGGGGTCCAGACCTTTCTCATGAAGAGCCCCCGCCCACTGCTAGGCTCGGGATAAGGCGCTGTTTTGGGATAAGCTCACTCAAGAGCGTTCATGTGTTGTGCTGGCAAGCACCCAGGCCAGTGGCAGCAAACTCTACAGAGTGGGGCGTGGTCAATGTCAGTACTGACGGCAGACGGTGACAGCAAGACCGTAATTTCAGGTCCATCTCTCTCTGTCTCTCTCTCTCGCTCTCTGTTTCTCCCCATGACTGAGCCTGACGTCAGCTGCCCATAATAATCCCAGTTTCCATTTCATTTTCCATTTTCTTTTCCATTTGATTCTCCACTGCAGTAATTTCCATCTTCTTTTCCATTTTCCCAGTTTTGCCAGGCCTTCGTGATCAGCCCACCAGCCTTGAAGCTCCTCGGATGCAGAGCGAGATCTTGCACAGTTGGATGCAGTATACTCTAAACTCCCCCTTAATAATGGAGAATCAAATGGAAAAGAACACGGAAAATGAAATGGAAACTGCTTTTTATACATATATATATATAGGGTTATGTAGGGGATTATAGGGGTTATAAGTTGGCAGCGCCAGCACGCCCCACAAAGCTTTCCGCCTTTGCGCCAGTCGACGGATGAAGTCCATTGGGATAAAGAAGGGCTGCTATGTCTGATCAGCTCCACCAAACAGACTCGTTTCGCTTGGTGTCCTATGTCGCTCAAAGGCCACCATCAGCTGCCACCCCAAGAGCACCTCGCAGTTCAAACGCCGGGTGCCTGCCACGGTCTCCTTTCCGGCTCAGGGTTTTGCGCATGCCCGCCTTTCGTTCCCGATGTTCTTTCTTGGTATTGTGCATAATATGAGGAGTACTAGTTAACATCGCAGTTTGAGAGGAGTAAAGGATTGCAAGGGCCTACCCTTAGGCAAATGTGAGGCTTCGGATTCCGACCGGAAATAAGTACAATGTCCTCGGTGAAGCAACACAGACTATCCGGTGACAGGCCTTGCTCCGTGTGAGACATCTTGCTGAAGTTGACACAGACAGCACGCTGCATACCACACCTTATCAGAATTTCTTTAGACAGTATGAGGGAACCGTCCTGCACTCTGCAGACAGCGAGCCGTGCACAGCCCAGGCCTTGCAGAGACTGGAGGCAAATGAACACCACCCGATAGCTCATCAGCACACTTGCCACGAATTCCTGCGCCCCCTGCGCAAAGCCTCCCTGCACGGCTAGTACAGCACCACAGAACCCGTGAGCCACAGGGCTGTTATCTGGCTTGTTGGCTCCGAAGAAGTGCGGTTCTTCATGTCGTGGATCTTTGATCCCGGGCTCGAGTGGAGTAGACATGATATAAGCAGTATAATCACATCAGTCTAGGCAATTCAGGAATGATGTCAAAATGATGGCTACACTGGTCACAAACACATCAAGCAACACTGGCCTCCAGCTGGAAAGTAGCTCGAGCAACGGCTGCTCAGCTGTCATAGAAGCGAAAAGACTCCCTTTGGAACTTTGGAGTTTGCAAATCTATGTATTCAACCGGCCATGAGGTTTGCTCAAACAGGCTTTTCCCACAATATCCTGCAAGAGCCATCCACTATCCAGCCATCCATGAAGCTATGGCTTTGTTGGGTGTCACATTATGTTGGTTCTTCGGCCTCTCTGGTATCATGCTGCTTGGCAAAACTTTCAGTCTGGCTCAGCTTCGCTATGTGAGATATAGTCTAACTCCTAAAAGGCGGGTTGTGTAGGCGAGTATGATAGGGCTTATGAATCGAAGGGGGAGTTGGAAACCCTAATCCCTAGAAAACCGTTATTAGCCATGTTCTTCTCCATTTGATTGTCCATTATTGGGGCTTATACCAGACCCTCTAATAATCCAAGTGCAACAAGGTAGTTTCCATGTTCTCTTCAATTTACGTTCCCTATAACACTCATATAGCCCTACACAATCCCATAAAACCTCTGTATAGCCCTATTGTCCATTATTGAGCTCAGACCCTTTATGGTTAACTGATTCGCTCGACGCAGCACTTGCTGTTATATCCCCATAATACTGCTTACAGATTTTGGTATGGGCCCCGAAAATGGGCACGTTGTTCCCTGAAGGGTGCACGCAAGGTATATAGTAGGTATGTAAGGACCTCAGGATCCCAGGGTTAAGGGCCCATACTGGGGGCCCATGGTTTCAACCTCAGACCCTAAACCCCAAACCCGAAATGTGCCATCAGGTTTCTGGTGGAGCGAACCTTGCTCCCATCTGGGTCCAGGTTCGGTGGCTAAGCTGGCTACACATCCAGATGCATCATTGGGCTTCCTTTAAGGGGCATAGGGGTCGTAGCGTCCTATGGAGACATGTAGGGTTTAGGGTTCGGGGTGGCATCAGACACGGCAGAATCTGTCACGAAATCCCCTCAAGTGCACGTGGCAGGCTGCGCGTGTCGCACCTTGACGAGCAAACAGGCGAGGATGGCTCGTTGATTTTGTGCCGGCCCTTCCTCCTTCCACCTTCCTGTCACACTGATGTATGCAAGAACATTGGATGCTGTGCATTGATGAAGGCACGGGACCTCCCTTCACGAGAACTTCCCAACTCGCCAGGATTGACTTGGACAACGGGACTTGGACTCGGCGAGAGTCCGGCTTACAAAACCGTGGCTCAGCTCAGAGGCAGAAAGCAAAGTGCAAGGTGTTTGTTGGAAGTGATGCGGAAAGTGAGTATTAGGATGAATACATGTCTGAGGTCGGGCCCCCTCTCTCCACAGAGCATGGTTCCAGAATACATGTCTGTGTAAGTAGTCTGTGGTGCAAGTTGGTACCAACCTTGAGCCAATTTCATGAGAGCCCTAGTTGCTGCTATTTGCGCGCTGGGTCTTGCAGCAAGGCTGATTTAACGGCTTCTGGTCCACTCCACTATGGTCCACTTCTGTAAAGTGCTGGTTTAGCAAGGTTACCATCGTCATGGAAACTCTTCCAAAAGGACGTTTAGGTGGGCACCCTGCAGGGCTGAGAGTGCTTGGGAATGTTTGGGATTCAACAAGCTGAATATGAGTTCGGCTTCGCAATGAGTGCTTGCCTCAAGTTTTTGCAGCCAGACTTTCTACTGTAAGAGTTTCGCTTCTGGCAGGAGTGAATCTGGTGCATGGCCAGCAGAAGGTCAGCCGCGTCGTAATGAGCCTGTGCTGAGCCTAGTAGGTCAGCGGCACACATTTAGTGTGATCAGGGCACACATCTGTGAACATTTGCCGGAACAACGCTTGCAAACCAAGGAAGGAAGCCTTCAACGCGGGCTGGCGAGTGGGAGATGTAATCCTCTCTGTAAACGGACGCAAGGCACGAATCATTCTCTGAACAACTCCAGATGGTGTAGCCTTTTCCTGATCTAGAGCTTCAGAACCATGTAAGCAAGACCTGGGATTGAGGCTGCCATGTGATCTCGCAGCTTGAAGCGATAGTTCTGGTTTCTTCTTGTCCCCCACGCAGCCAAACCTGAGCCTCAGCCACTGCTTCATAAAAAGTGTACACGTAGGCTTGTAGAGGAAGGATCTGCGCAACGTGTCCGGCAGGTCACGTCCAATGCTGCAACACAGAAGGCAGTGCGCAGTGCCGTCAAGCGGAACTACTATCACGGGGGTCGGGTGAAGTTTGAGGCAGGACAGGGCCTGGAGACATGCTTGCATACATTAGTCGTATCTATCCTATGGATCTGATAATTTCATAAGCTGGAGGTGACCTGCATAGACGCGCTGTTGCTAGGAAATGCTGAAGCCTGACATAGTCTGTAGCAGGCAGGCTGACAAGTCAGGCTCTGCAACCCGTAACCGGAGCCCAAGGAGATCTGAGCAACGCGCAAAGGTGACGAAGCGAATCACTTTCACAGCTCCAGGCCCTTGTTCTCTTTTAAGTGCAGGTGCGGCGTTGGGGTGTGCCAGACGGCAGCCGCAGCATGCTCCAGTTCACGACAAATGGTCGCAGGGAGCTCACTGAGGGTTGAGGATTGTTGAGAAGTTTCGGTTGGGGGCTTGCATAGTGTATAGGATATAGGTGTTGGTGGCAGAAGGTGCGCGTCTCAATATTCTTTCGGAGTGGACAATTTACATTGGCATGCATGTGACTGCTGCCAGCTGCAATTGACATCAGACAATCAGGGCAGGTCAAGGCAGAAGTCATCGTTCCCTGCCAGGGGCCCTCAAATTTGGAGGCATTCCGCTCCAACATCACCCCCCTTGAGGCCGAGACCATCTGGTACCCATGCTGGACATTGCGAAGGGCATTCTTCAGGAGAAAGGGTTGAGGGGTCCCTCTGCAAGCATGCCTGCAAATTCGGAGCTGCCTAGAACTCCAGATGTAGGCTCTTTAAAGCGCAAGTTGTCAGTTTGTCCTTCATGCTTTGCTGTCAGCTTGTTAAAGTTTCCAGCTTTGAGTCCCTCGAATCTTTTTCCGCAGGATTTTCACATCGTCCTCTTCATGGAGGGAACGCTAAAGAAGCCCAAGAATCGCTTGACTCGCCAGGTGGCACTCAGTTTGAAGTTGTGCAATTCCTATTCCCGTACGACCTGTTGTTTGAAAAGTGTCGGTAGAATAATCCCAAGCACTACTAATGATGAAAGATATCGTGTGTGTGTGTTAAAGGCCAAACGGGATCACAGACAAGATATCAAAGAGTGGACAACTTTGGTCCAGACGTAGGTGTGCTGTCAATACATTCGCAATCGGGGGCGTGCGGATGGTCGGCTATCGCTAACAATTTCATGGGCATTTTTTTCGGAATGCAGAATTGGGGTGGAAAACGTGCCCTAGAGAACAAGGTCTACCCAATCTGCACCTTGAGTCAAATGGTAGTTTCCCAAGATAGGGGCACCCAAATATGGACCCCAAGATACTACAATCCTTATGATGGGGGACCCCCAAACAGGTACCCCTAATTTTTGGAAATTCTAACCCCTATATAATCTCAGTTTCCATTTGATTTTCCATGTTCTTTTCCATTTGATTCTCCACTATCCCAATTTAGAATCTACCCATATATAACCCTATTCAAGGGACCCCCCAAATCATGGGGCATCTCCAGGTCATCAAGGAGCTGGACGATCGGGGCATGCCCTTCAAGGCCTTCCTTGTGCATGAAGGGCTGCGTGACAGCGGGAGTTAGGTTTTAGGGTTTAGGGTTTAGGGTCTACAGGAGGTTCCTCTCTTGCTTTGATGATGCCTGAATTTCTGAATTGTCGAACAGTTTCTGTTGCAGGATGCGTTTCTCATCCCAAACTCCTCTCCCCAATACTTTAGGATCTACTTCTCATAAGCCTGGTCAACCTGCTACAAGCAGAATACATGATCCGAACTCACAGGCTACTGGTACATGGCACATGTGCGAATTTCATGCCATCAGAAGGGTACATACCGCAGATGTTCTAAGTCAACCGCAATCTTTCCTTGCGCTGAGAACTCTATGGGCGGAACTCTATGGGAGGCGTGCCAACCATCCAGTGCCTGGGAGGCCGTGGACTGCACTGATGAGAAGATCAATCCTGGCATCCGAAACGTCACAGAGCAGCTGGCAGGGGAGAAGGCGGGGATATCATGAACTTTATCTGGCGCTCTGGGGGGAGTTCTCACATTTGGGGTTCCAGGATTACTTCAGGATTACTGTAGGAGTTTGGGGTGTTTCTTTGAGGTATCCCTAGCTTTCAAATTGAACTTGAAAGCAATTTGCATGAGCCCATATTCAGCTACCCTAGGGCCAGGACTGAAACCCTCGCGTAATCTCGCGAATACCTATCAACAAACCATCCCCTTAAAAGATGGACACACCAGGTGTTGCCACAGCTTTTCATCGATGGCGCGCACGTAGCCGGAGGGAGGGCACCCTGGTCTCTGCTTTTGGTCTTGAGGGGTTTCGGGTTCCCGTACCGTGAGGAGTTAAGGAGATTTAGGGTTTGAAGAGTTTTGGGTTGGAGATGGTTGGAGTTAGAGTTTAGAGACCGAGCTGCCATACATTTCAGCTAGATGACCGTAACCGCGCTGGCCAGAAATAGCGGCATTCGGCAGTATTGCGGGCCGCGCTGGGGTGTGGGGAAGCAACACCCATAAACGTCTTGAAAGTCAGATGCTGGTTCCTGCTATAAGGTATACGTTCTCCTGAGGCAATTCTCCAGGCGCTTCAGGACTTGTCGACTGAGTCTACTGCTGCGACGCCTGAGTCGACAGAAGCGGAGGCGAAAAGATGGCTGTTTGCGCACATGTTGCCTTGGAAAGTGCAACTTGATCTCAACCCATAATCCCAAGAAAGCCTGGGACTTGATGCAGTAGCCGTCGCCCTAGCTGACCAGAAACACGCCGCTTTGCCCCCGAGATTCTTAGCATCACTCTGCTACAAAACGGTGGCCCCACTGTCCGGAACTCTTCAAGACCCTCGCAGCCGTAAAGTGGAACAACTTGTCTAAGTTTAAGGTGCTTCTCAGCGTCCGGGGTAGCAGCAACAGCAGCGGCGGCGGCAGTGGCTTTCACCAGGCCGAAGATAACCCACAAAACGGGCAGTGCCTGAGTCTAAATTCGTTTGCTTTCAGAGGTTTAGGGTTTAGGGTTGCTACAAAGCGTGGCTTTTGCTTTTGTCCAGGTTGGTCTCGTGGTTCGCCTTCGTTTGCAGCGCAGCCCTTGTTGTAGTTCTGTTCTGGTGGAGCGCGAGATAGAAGACTCCCGTGTTGATTCTTCCCCGAAACTCTTGAAACTTCCATGTGATTCTTGGTTTGTATGGATATGAGCTGTGCGGGTTAGTCCTTAACCTGAAATTGTACACCGTTGTGTGGTTGGTTCACTGCGCTCCGACGACACAGCAACCCAAAAACAGAGGTGATATCCACATGAGGCATCTTTTAGTGAACACTGTTTTTCCTGGTCTCGAAAATATTCAGCAGTAATGTGGTGAGGACAGATGCAGGAGACTTGTCATGGATGTTCACGTGCGATGTTGCTTGGTTTGCTCCCTGCCCACTTCCCCCTGAGCTCACCGAAAACAGAGCTAATGCCAATTTGCACTTGGGCACTGCGCTGCTCGTGAACGTGGATATCATCACTTGGCGTCTGAACGTTCTGTACAGACATGACAGCTCTGTATAGGCTGTACGTATATTTTAGAGTTTTAGGGGCTTGCTGGCCTGGATGTTGCCACCTCTTTAAAAAGTGTGTACCAGTGTCAGAGATTCATAATTCAGTGCCATTCACTTCTTCAGTTGTTATTTGTTTTCTTGAGGTTTTTAAGGCCGATTCGCAAAATCGAGAGCTGTTACACTAATTTTCTCCTGCTTTCAAACATCGGTTGTAAGAGACTTGCATGGAGGCTATACGCTGCTGAGCTGGTTGTTCCTTCCTTGTCTCTGTCGAGATTGTTATTTCACCACCAAACACTTCCAGAGCAACCCCATCGGGCGACAACCATCGACGTTTGGCAACGCTGCGGTTCCCAGTCAGGTTGGCAGCCACCGGTAAGGTAAGATAATTGAAGTAGGCTTGCTGAAGAAGCACGAGTTTGTGGGGAGGTTGAGATACCATGGCAACTCTCGTAAGATAGAAAGCCATTTTCAAAGGACATTTCTTTTTCCATCTTGCAAGCAAGATGTAGGCAGCAGCGCGTGCTGCCTTCGACGAGTCGCAGGCAGAAGGGTGCTTTGTGTCTCAGGAGTTGCAAGGGTTCAGGTTTTGCAGGTAAGTCACCTAGTAAAGCGGCTGAGGAGAACAAGGTAACTTGGCAGCAGGTCTGGCTCAAATGCTTTACTTGGGAATACGAGGCGCGGGAATTTTCGGAAGCCATTACCATTGTGGTCAAGACTACAGGGGCTAGGGGCCGGTTTGAAAGGGCAGCAACCTCCCCTGGCAGATAAAATGAATGTTGGTCATGACCGCCTGCCGTCCAGAATCAGGGCATGTTTCATCAATCTCACCACTAGAAGATCTGGCATCGGGCGAGGATGAAGTGGAATCGTGTCCCAACAACCCCCCCAAAGTCACCTTCTTCTGTAGGCGCGTGTTGTGCCTGCGGGCAACTGCAGCCACCGCTTCTGAGACAGATGTCCAGCAGAAGTTGCTGAGCGACTTGGTTTGTCTTATGAGGTTTATGTGGCGTGGAAAGTTAGTGCACTTGCAAGAAAGTATAGTATAGATGCTGTGTGAGTGAGTCAGTCGTGAAGCAGCTGGTCGCGCACCTGACATATCACTCCAAATCAACTGCAGGTGAAGCCTGGGTCTGGAGCTCAGAAAACGGGCTCGTCATGCATTTGCAGAATGAAAAGTGCACTTACAGTATCCAGAGTGAGGGAGACTCATGGATTTCCTCTACCCTTTTCCGACCTTGTGACGGCAAACCTGCCATGCGAATATGCACCCGGTGCTTACACAAGCTGCATGCGAGGAGCACGCTCTGCTTGACCGAGAAGGCTTCAGCCTCTGGGGTTTCTTCTTTATTCCATTCTAACTTATGACCGAGCAGGTTTGCACTCGAGTGCAGATGCTATTCCAACTGCGGCCGCTAGCGATCCTCATGTTATACCATTTGGAATTCGTCCGCTTTGCATGATGAAACTAGGCATTCAGGCACAGATGATCTTGCGGCTTCTGTTGCTAGAGAAGGTCCCTCGACACAGAATTCAAAAAAGTGTTCGCCAAAACTTTCTGCTTCTGATAAGAGCTTTGTCTGTTCCATAATATGGTCAGGCTTCTTGGCATGAAGGCAGGGGTGCTGCTTTAAATTGCCTATTGTCCCCATTCGCTACCCGTAGATGGTATTGAGAGGGTGATCTTCCTGTACCATTGTTATCATCATTACAATGACTAGTAACTAGTACTACTGTTATTACTATTACTATTAAGATTACTAGTACTACTACTGCTGCTATTATTATTGTTATTAAAACTCCTACTCCTACTACTACTACTACTACTACCACTACTACTACTACTACTGCTACTACTACTACTACTACTACGACTACTCCTGCTGCTACCACTACTATTTTGCAGTACCTGGGGTCAGGAAACGTCTTCACTGAGCCGGAGCTCTTTGCAGAGAGCTTGCCTGAGCGTCACCATGCTGACATGCGAACTGCATAGTGGTAGTGGTGGTGGTGGTGGTGGTGGTGGTGGTGGTGGTGGTGGTGGTGGTGGTGGTGGTGGTGGTGGTGGTGGTGGTGGTGGTGGTCGTAGTAGTAGTAGTAGTAGTAGTAGTAGTAGTGCTACCACTACCACTACCACTACTAGTAATAGTAGCAACAGCAATAGTAAACAAACTGCGTAAGAGGATCAATACCATCCCACTTATAGGCAGTCACAGTATCAGTGGCAGTGGCAAAGTATCCGGCAAGGATCCTCAGCTCATTGAATGAGCCTGGAGAGCAGAAGGCCATCTTATCCGCGATGCTCCATGATGAGTTCTGGCGAAAACTTGGTCTTGTGCTGACAAAGAATCAGGGCGGTTTCATCACTTAGCGTGATAAGTGAGAATCATGTTTTGGGTGAAGCGCCGCGCGCAGGGCCCTGTGTACTTCGAGCGCGTCAGCAGGGTCTGTCTCCTAGACTTCACTCGCTGGGCTGCTTTACCCTTCCTTGTGAAACAATTGAACACATCTCAGTTCCTCGCAGAGTCCGCCAGAAACAAGGCACCTGGCACGAGCGAGGATATCGTGTGAGCGCCCCAGCGCCAACTGTGTAGAGAGTCAAGCAAGACCCGAAGGCGTGAAAGTCTGCTTTGTAGCTGCAGCTCTCGACCCTCTAGAGTATAAAAACCGCCCGATTCTACAAACATCCATCTACTGTGGTTTACAGATTGGTGCGCCAGGCTGTACGTTCCAGGGATCGACTTCTCAGGAGGCTTCGCAGTCGCAGTCCCAGTGATAGCCACAAGGAATGTTTCATCTCACCTGCAATTCCCATCATGCCCAGCCGAGGCTCCTCAGTTTCGACCTCTTGTAGAAGCAGGGCATGAGCAGGATGCTGAGCCTGTCTCTTGCTGTGGATGTCTGAAGTGAATGCATCAGTAAAGACTCTTGTTTCTGCACTCCGACCGCAGGGTGTCACTCTGCCTGCATGATCACATGGAAGCCTTCCAAAACTTTGGCGGGTTGTTTTCAAAGGTAGCATGTTCACAGAAGTCCCCAGGCTGTGGCGCTGCTGGGTTGGAGCCGACAACCGAACGTGCAGGGCTTACTGTGCACTGACAGCCGATTACTTACGTGGGAGATCATGGGAGAGAGGGGGAATAAGCAAGAACAAACACAAGACGAATAATAAGAAGCAGAAAAAAGAGTAGAACAAGAGGCACAATAAGAATTTTGCGCATGCACTGGACGTAGAAGCAGCTTGAATCAGTGGAATCTGAGAAAGACAAAGGATATCTACAGGGCTGCCATTACCGAGGCCATTTGTAGAGATGGTAGATCGCTTGGAGGCTGGCGGAAGCACATCCTTTGCTAAGCCTGGCTTTGCATCGCATATTTGGCCACGAAAGGACATGATAGCACATGGCATGAGCAGTGTCTAAGAATCCCATTTTTGTCAGGCAATGCAAGGTCAGTACCTGTGAGCCCCAGTTGCTATGGCGAAGGTGTGCTTCGGATATGGAAAGGGTCACAGGGTTACCTGCCAATGATGTCACGGATTTGTTCCCCACAGCAGTACGACCCAAGCGTGTTGGCAGTAGACATACTATTACTATAGCCGCTGATTAGGAAGTTCCAAAGCCGCAGGCCTGGGTCCACAGTCAGACGCAATCTGGCCGACAGGCAAGCTGCTCAATTCCGCATGTTCCACCAAAGGGTATGGACCTGGGAAGAAGTCTGTAATAGGGGGGGCCTAGATGAGCCATGTCTACAATCAGAAGCCTGAATTTTGAGCCAACAATTTGTCCATGGTCTAATGTTGCACAGCTTTTCCTGGCACATTGTGGATCGGCACACAGTCAGACACCTAAAGGTGGGTAAGGGCCACCTGCGACCGACCTGTCCAGTCCTCCTTCAGATCCCCAAAACAGACCGCCCCCAAAACAGCGGCCCCGATCCTTGAATATCCCTACATGTCTCCATGTATCCCTTGTATCCCCTTGGAAGGGGCCCCCTTATTCGGAAATCCTCAGGTGGTCCTCTTTGGTGAGTCCTTTGGCGGGTTGCTCTCCCTGGCCGTGGCATTGCGTTTGGGCAACGAGGGCCTGAAAGGCCTCCAAGAGCAGTCATCTTGCTGGTTGTCGGTAGGGAATGGAACCGAAAATTCAAATCTACCCTGAAGGGGATTAACATTGAAAATGCTATGTAGGGTGCAGGGTTTGGGGAATCTTCTCCCCCGAAAAATCTGTGGCGAAGAGCGCCATGTCGGCTCAAAGTGCTCCATGACTTGGCCAACCCTTTCCGACGGCTGAGAACTCCTTCCGCAGCTTGGCATCGATGAGTTGATGGGCCTCTCTAGGGAACCAAAACCAGTCGGTAGCTTTGCTGTGTTATGTCCTAATGAATTACAAGCATACCAAGAGCTTTCGGAAGCTTCCCGGTTCGGCGCAACTGCGAGCCGCCATGCTTTTCAAGGCGCATGCTGTGTCAGATGCAATGTAAGATGCCTGAGGTCTTATTCAGCAAGAGGCCCTCCACGAACTTGATGTGGTGCTCTCAGTGCGATATGCGCCGCCAGATGCTCCTGATGTCTAATGGTTTCA